CGTACTTCTTCCTTGATATCTCATCAGACTAATTTAGATGTTGAAATTCATATTTGGTTTGGCGGAATAAACCAAACGAGATGCTTTAATTTTTCTATTCCTGAACCGTTAGGTGATGATTTTTTTTGTTCAATTCCCCGAAGTCTCGGTGGACAGGATGAGTTTTGATGCATTAAAATTAATTTGGTTAGTTCATCAAAACGCTGGAACGTAACCCAAAGTCACTATGGTCTCCATACTGGTGCTGTAAAACTGCAACGAAACGGGGCAATGTTGGTGAACGAAGCTAATTCGGCCAGGATTTGCACCCTTCAGACGTTTTTTTTTTCCCTCAACTGACTCTTCTTGTTATGAAATTTTCACTTAGAAAGGAAAACCACTTAGTAGTATACTCCCAAATCATCCAATAAATTCTTATTCCGTTTTTTTATTACCATGTAATTTAGCTGGGGCGGCTACATAACTAGATGGCACAGTTTTGGACTGTCATATATTTGTCCTTGACGTTTATCTCGTGGGCAGCATTAGAACAGATCGTGATGGTGCAGAAACCAGATTGTAGTTCATGCAGGTGGACTTGGATGCGTTACGAAGTTAAATGCCGTTCATGCCCAATTGTCGGGGTAAGTGTATAAAGCATTTATTTTTCCTGTCTCAGCCCACGCTTCGAAAGGGTTTGGGGATATGAAAGAAGGGAAAAGGAAGGGGGCCGGGGAGGCTAAGGATCACCTTAGTTTTACGAACTGATAAACAGTGATAATACACAGTAATTAACACTTTCATTCAACGTCTGATTTCTAGCTCGAATTTCCTCCTCTAGAGTCACCCATGCCCATACCGTGGTGTTCTCAAGTTGTACATTCGTCTCCACTGTTAGACCTCCTTACCCAATCTCTCGATACGATGATAACTTTTTAAACAGTTTCGTAATCTAGCTTTATAGGCAATATATAAGCTGGAAACGAAATTCAACATCTTTTTCAAGAATGTTAAACTTTTCGGACATTTTTTTTTTTTTTTTTTTTTTGCTTGTTTTCGTTGTTGTTGTTGTTGTGGTTGTTTTGCGTTTACTTACAGTAAAAATTAGACATGAACGAAAGAGTTCCGCTTGCCATAGACCTTACTTTTGATATAACTATTCCATTTTCTATGATAGAAACGGATTGTCGTAAAAATAGGGTGTTATTAACGTTTTCTTCAAACGCCTTAGTATGCACGGTTATGCCTTTCCTTTCATTTATACACCACATAGAAATCACGCCTAACTACATGATATTGGACGCTCTTTCAGTTCTTAACAGCATAAGAAAAAAGCTGACATTTCGTGACGCCACCATTAGTTTACCTGCAAAATGACGTCTGATAAACGAGCACAGAAAATGCATACCGATGACCCGTCACTACGCAGAACTGGATAATCCTTTTGATTGGTCGTGCTGGGTGGGAAATTTGCTTCAACCAATTCGAAGCACGATCTACATCTGGTTAGGGACGCGTCACCATTTTTCAATTTCTGCGCTCGTTACTCAGACGTCATTTCGCGTGGACACCAGTACTTTTTGCCAGCACTTTAATGTAGTTTTCTATCTTTCTTTTTCTCCCTTCTTGTCTGTTTTAGTGGGACCACCCAACCGTACCTGGAGATATGACTGCACTATCAAAGTATACTGTGTGTAATATTCTAAAACCTGATGGTTCTTTGTATTACAAATCTCCATTTGAACCAAATAATTGGCTACTTAGCGATCTCATTCAAGTAAGAGAAGTTAACAGAGTAGACGTCACTGTCAAGTACTCTATAACTCCGTGTCCTCCGCTTGCACTGTATTGTAAAGAGTACTTTGATGCTTATGTATGGGAATCCGACTCAATTGTCGAACGTGACAAAATACCGCACCCCATAAACATCAACGGTTCGTACAGAAGATTCGCTTCATTCAACCGTCAGTCCAGTGGTTTTACGGTTGTGACAGTGCCACTTGTCTTGTCAAGAAGATACTTTGTGCTTGGATTTCGGGATCAAGGTGGCTGTAGAACATTAAGTTCCGTTACGGTCACCTACAATGTTTGCCCTCGAACAACGCTCAGTAGAACCTTGGTCTCTGTGCCGCGAACTTTAGCACCATCAAATGACCGTGAATCGATTTCAGTTTTAGGAGAATGTGCTGCCAACTCTGTACTAGTTTCGAACAGTTTGAATGTTCTTTGTGAGAGCAGTGGTGAATGGAATATCACTCGTCTTGGAGGGGGGTGCGTTTGCAAGGAGGACATGGAAAACATTGAAGGCCAATGTGCGGGTGAGTATGTGATGCTATCAAAATTACTCGGAAAAAAAAAGAAAAAAAAAAAAACGCTTCTGCTCTACCAACGCTGTGCAGTGCGTAAGTTTCACGTGATAGAATGTCAAATCACGCGTGATCACATTATGAGTGATAAAAGCCGGGTTCAAACGCCCGAGATCAGATTGCGTTCTGTGCATTCCATGCATTCTTAGTGGAAGTCCAAAAGAAGCTGGCTATATGCATGGTGTCCGGTCACCTCGCCACCAAGAAATATATATCTTAATACTTATCGAAAGGGCACGTCTCTAAAAATAACCGCCATGCTACGCAGGCTACTCTAAAAAGAATCTTTTCGCTTTAAAATTACAATGAAATCTAAGGAGGTAAGGTTCAAGTGACAAAAGTAACCAATTCTCATAGGAAAGGCTGTTGGTTTAAACAAATGGCACCTCTCACAAAAATAGAACACCTAAGATGAGAAGTTCGACGCAATGTGTCAAAAAAAATCGATAAACTTATTTTTGGGCTTGAGGAAGAAATAACAACCCCAAGTAAGTAAACAGTGTCAATTATTGCATAGTTATTATGATGTGGCAAGTAGACTTCTTGGTGGCGAGATGACCGTATAAACCGTATATATGTACTGTGTGCCGTGCCTGCCCTACAGCAACCTGAAGATTAGAATTGCAGGCTCCTCTTGTTCCCCGCAATAAACCTTAACTAGATCCTCACAACCCCTAAAAACCTTTTTCAATCAAATGTAAACTCTCTCTTACAATGTAGCTGTTTAATTAGTAAATTTCCTTGTTTGTGAGCAGTCTATCTATTCCAGCTTTATTTGTTTTGCTGTTGTATTTTTTCGAGTCCATTAAGGAGAAAGAACGGGTAGCGAAAAGACTTTCACCCCATATAACAAAGATTATAGTTCAGATTTACGAGATACACTGAATAATTCTAACACTAACAAAGCTAAAATGACTCCTTTTTCAAATCTTAAATCCGTAATTTCATTTTAGGATGTAAAAAGGGAAAATATAACGACCGGAAGGGCCTTAATTGCACAGGTAAGCTATAATTAACCAGATATCACAGATGATGGCCTGCATGCTCGTTTCAATTAGTTCTTTCACTAATTAGTTTTGAACAGTGTTAACAATAATTGAACAACATTCTTTTTTGCTATTATTATTACTGAAATAAAAGGCAACGCGCAATCTCTTTGGTTTAATTATAGGTCCATGAAAAACTCGTGTTTAAGAGCCTGTTTACATGGAAGTGGGGGACCCCAGTTAGGTGAGGTAACATGCGGCGGGTCACCACACCTATCATGTAAACGTGATCAAATCAAAATGAGAGATTATATGGACAGGCGGGTTACCCACCAAAGCGGGTTACCTCACTTACCTGGGGTCCCCCACCTCCATGTCAACAGGCCCTAAGATGAGGAGGCGTGAGGAGGCGGGTGTGGCCGAGCAGCTAACACCTCGAACTCCAGATCTGGAGGTCGGGGGTCCAAGCCACGCTCGTCGCGTTATTTCATTAGACAAGGAAGTTTACACCACTTTGTCTCTTTTCACCCAGATGTAGAGATGGGTATCGACGACATACTACTGGAGGGGGGGGGGGGGACCCTGCCAATGACTAGCCTCCCCCCCAGGGGGGGGGGGGAAGTCGTTTTTTTGGGGATTAAACTTTTTTATTAAATTTTCTTTTTTAATTAAAACTAAGGGCTTGTTTTGGGTTCGGAAAGGCAAAATTTTTTTTTTTTTCTTTTTGTTTTTTTTTCCGGGTCATAAACCATTGTTTTTAAATGCTCCTGAGAGTATTGCATTTTCCCAAGAGCATTTTAAGACAATAAGTTATGCAAAATTTGGGGGGCAGACAGAGTGTATTATGGGGAATTGGAAAATAGTCAATAGGTTCAGGTCAGTGTGGTTAAGCACGCATGTCATTCTGGAAACTATCAGGACTTGTCGATTGATTAAAATAAATTCATTTGCAGCCAAGTCGTATGCCATTGTTATAGTTGATGAATTTACAGCCAGGGCTTGGAAGCAAGGCTATTCTTTGAGGGAATATTCAATGACATAACAGTTTTGGCTCCGTCGATCGACAAACATTTGATTCATCTACTTGATTGCAACAGACATGATTACATTTGTTTGCTACAGCTAATCAAAGTAACAAACTTGCTCTAAAAGGTATGTTGATATTAAAACGCTTCAGTCGCATACGGAAGGTGGAGCTTAATCGTACTTCTTCCTTGATATCTCATCAGACTAATTTAGATGTTGAAATTCATATTTGGTTTGGCGGAATAAACCAAACGAGATGCTTTAATTTTTCTATTCCTGAACCGTTAGGTGATGATTTTTTTTGTTCAATTCCCCGAAGTCTCGGTGGACAGGATGAGTTTTGATGCATTAAAATTAATTTGGTTAGTTCATCAAAACGCTGGAACGTAACCCAAAGTCACTATGGTCTCCATACTGGTGCTGTAAAACTGCAACGAAACGGGGCAATGTTGGTGAACGAAGCTAATTCGGCCAGGATTTGCACCCTTCAGACGTTTTTTTTTTCCCTCAACTGACTCTTCTTGTTATGAAATTTTCACTTAGAAAGGAAAACCACTTAGTAGTATACTCCCAAATCATCCAATAAATTCTTATTCCGTTTTTTTATTACCATGTAATTTAGCTGGGGCGGCTACATAACTAGATGGCACAGTTTTGGACTGTCATATATTTGTCCTTGACGTTTATCTCGTGGGCAGCATTAGAACAGATCGTGATGGTGCAGAAACCAGATTGTAGTTCATGCAGGTGGACTTGGATGCGTTACGAAGTTAAATGCCGTTCATGCCCAATTGTCGGGGTAAGTGTATAAAGCATTTATTTTTCCTGTCTCAGCCCACGCTTCGAAAGGGTTTGGGGATATGAAAGAAGGGAAAAGGAAGGGGGCCGGGGAGGCTAAGGATCACCTTAGTTTTACGAACTGATAAACAGTGATAATACACAGTAATTAACACTTTCATTCAACGTCTGATTTCTAGCTCGAATTTCCTCCTCTAGAGTCACCCATGCCCATACCGTGGTGTTCTCAAGTTGTACATTCGTCTCCACTGTTAGACCTCCTTACCCAATCTCTCGATACGATGATAACTTTTTAAACAGTTTCGTAATCTAGCTTTATAGGCAATATATAAGCTGGAAACGAAATTCAACATCTTTTTCAAGAATGTTAAACTTTTCGGACATGTGTTTTTTTTTTTTTTTTTGCTTGTTTTCGTTGTTGTTGTTGTTGTGGTTGTTTTGCGTTTACTTACAGTAAAAATTAGACATGAACGAAAGAGTTCCGCTTGCCATAGACCTTACTTTTGATATAACTATTCCATTTTCTATGATAGAAACGGATTGTCGTAAAAATAGGGTGTTATTAACGTTTTCTTCAAACGCCTTAGTATGCACGGTTATGCCTTTCCTTTCATTTATACACCACATAGAAATCACGCCTAACTACATGATATTGGACGCTCTTTCAGTTCTTAACAGCATAAGAAAAAAGCTGACATTTCGTGACGCCACCATTAGTTTACCTGCAAAATGACGTCTGATAAACGAGCACAGAAAATGCATACCGATGACCCGTCACTACGCAGAACTGGATAATCCTTTTGATTGGTCGTGCTGGGTGGGAAATTTGCTTCAACCAATTCGAAGCACGATCTACATCTGGTTAGGGACGCGTCACCATTTTTCAATTTCTGCGCTCGTTACTCAGACGTCATTTCGCGTGGACACCAGTACTTTTTGCCAGCACTTTAATGTAGTTTTCTATCTTTCTTTTTCTCCCTTCTTGTCTGTTTTAGTGGGACCACCCAACCGTACCTGGAGATATGACTGCACTATCAAAGTATACTGTGTGTAATATTCTAAAACCTGATGGTTCTTTGTATTACAAATCTCCATTTGAACCAAATAATTGGCTACTTAGCGATCTCATTCAAGTAAGAGAAGTTAACAGAGTAGACGTCACTGTCAAGTACTCTATAACTCCGTGTCCTCCGCTTGCACTGTATTGTAAAGAGTACTTTGATGCTTATGTATGGGAATCCGACTCAATTGTCGAACGTGACAAAATACCGCACCCCATAAACATCAACGGTTCGTACAGAAGATTCGCTTCATTCAACCGTCAGTCCAGTGGTTTTACGGTTGTGACAGTGCCACTTGTCTTGTCAAGAAGATACTTTGTGCTTGGATTTCGGGATCAAGGTGGCTGTAGAACATTAAGTTCCGTTACGGTCACCTACAATGTTTGCCCTCGAACAACGCTCAGTAGAACCTTGGTCTCTGTGCCGCGAACTTTAGCACCATCAAATGACCGTGAATCGATTTCAGTTTTAGGAGAATGTGCTGCCAACTCTGTACTAGTTTCGAACAGTTTGAATGTTCTTTGTGAGAGCAGTGGTGAATGGAATATCACTCGTCTTGGAGGGGGGTGCGTTTGCAAGGAGGACATGGAAAACATTGAAGGC